GCTTATACAAACACCCCTCCCTCATTCAGAGCCTAAACACTCCTCAGTGTTTAATTTTTGTTTACATGTTTGTTTGTTTTTGTCTGTCTGTTTGTCCATTAATTTGTGATAACAAAATCCCTCAGTTTACCCGGTTCAATGTGTCATTATACACTCATTGCTTGCCATAGTTGTACATACATGTTAATCTGTAAATAAATGGCTTGTGGAGAACTTGCCAATTTGAACTAATCTCAATTTTCTTTGTGTCTTGATGAGAAATACCGACCTTGATAAGAGAAGGACTCAATGGGGTAAACTTTATTCTGAGACTGATTACAATAAAGTTACAGTTTTTTCATTTCTTTCCTGGGTCAGTTCTGATCGAATCAAGAAATGTGGTGCTCCGAGGTAAAGATATAATTAAATATAGCATATGTAAATATGATATATTTAATTATATCCACAAATTATAAAGTTCAGAATTCTAAACTTTAAATTACCCTACATATTTATGGTGCTGGCCGTGTGAGGCTTGCTAGCCAGCATATCATTTTCCTACAGATGGATGCAGTTTCTAAAAGTCAAAACCAAAGATTCTGTAAGAAACTCACCGTGACCCAGGTGGGGATGAGGTCGCACTTGTTCAACACAAAGATCAGATGTTTCCAGGGTTTCTCCTTCTTCATGTACGCCTCAATGCTCTTGGAGCGTGTTCCCATGGGGTCACGGGCATCCAGCACTTGGATGACAACATCAGATGAGTCGATAACCTGGAAAAAAAAAGGTATAAAGAACGCACCCCATTTAATGTTGGTTCCTCTTTCCAGGTTTAAATTAATATCAGGCCACTCAAACTGAAATTACCCATATCTTCCAACATATGGAAGTTGATTTTTTTCTTCAAATTAACCTCTAAAGTAAAAAAAAAATTGATGTAGACACAGCAGGTGAATGATCCCCTCATTTAGCAAAATTAAGCTACAAATGTGAACATTACAAAGCAGAAATGACCCATCGGTCCTGGGTGGAGGTTAGAACATTTACCTTGTAAAGTTCTCCCCAGATCCTTTTGGACTGACCCTTTTTGAAAATCTCCTCCCGTACTTCATCTCTGTTGAAAATATTTGAATAAATTTTAATTCATATTTAAACAGGGCAATTCAATAACCCATTAGACTAAGAGGGGATCTTACCGGACCCCTGTGTCTTCTGTTACCAGGTCTTTGTCTTTGTCTGCGTTGTAGCTCAGAGCTGAAGCCTCTGCTCGTTCCACGAGATCCTTCATATCTTCAACCACCAGACTGGGCCTCTTCCTCTGAGCTTTGGGCCCAAATGTGGTCTCAAAGCCCTCTGTGTCTAAAATGTGCACCTTTGAGTTCTGCAATTTTACAGGAACACCTTATAAACACAGTCTAATTTGTAGAATAACAGTAACTCACACAATCACAAACTATTTACCTCATTTTTATATATCAAGCCCTCACATTGTGTTCAGAACACGTAAACCACAATCTTTATGTAATTTCTTTCTTGCAATGGACTGCATAAAGATTAAAGGAAAATAAACAAATGTGTTTGTTTTAACTGGGGAAAACTTAATTTTGTTTGTTGAATAAATAACTACACAGGTAYGTTTACCTGCTTCAGATTTTTAAGACAGAGATTCTTAACCTTTTTGACCTCGGGGCCCAATTTATTGAACAAAAAGTGACAAGAGGCCCAGTCAGACATTACCATATGGCTCAAAATGATAATTATTCTAAATCTTGGTTTAAAATTATAATTATTCAAAATATTGGTTTAATTTGTATTGTATTTACATTATAACTAAATAAAATAGACTTACAGTTTAAAAGTAAAACTCCTGTCCAATAACCACAAGACTTGATTATGACAAACATTTTTATATTGTAACCTGCCCATAACAATTATTTGAACAAACACAAAGGTCAGTCAACAGACCACTCAGGCTTATCAACACAAAATAACCCATCCATCCATTTTCTGTACACACTTCTTCCTTTCAGGGTCGAGTGGGTCACTGGTGCCC